TAAAAGAGATGATATGACGGTCATACAAAAAAATGGAGGATTGAAGACTGATTTCTCAGAGAGGGGCAGGGGGCAGTGTCTCGGCCTGTGACTCGATGGATACATTCTTCATTTTTGCAGAATGCCCCTCTCTGTTTGGGGGCGGGGGGAGGTTGGCCCATTGTTTTCTTTTCTTCCCCACATGCTTTTATATGTCATTTAGTGGTGTTGTTCCTTGGCTAGCCTGGGAAAGTGACCCTGACCTGGTTGAATGCTGCTGGATTGGCCCCATTGGAAGCTGCTCTCCAGGGGTCACCAGTACAACCTGTTGATGAAACAAAGCTGGCCAGTATATTGCTCACTGTGGTAAAGGGAAAACACAGCCATGCAAAGCTTGGGCAATGTCTCGGCAGGTGCAGGCGTATTGGTCAGGCTTCAACAAGAGATGCAGAACCAGTGGGAGATATGTGCAAAGAGGTTTATTGTAAGCAGTTGGCTTACGTGATTGTGGGGACTGGATAGGCAAATCCAAAATGCATAGGGCATGCTTTCAGGAAGAGGAGGCTGGAACTCTGGGGTAAAAGTTGAATCTGCTGTTCACTGGTAGAATTTAAGGCCTTTCAATTTATGGAATCAGGCCCACCCAGATTATCTTGGATAATCTCTCCTACTTAAAGTTAACTGATTATCAACTTTAACCACACCTGCAAAATACCTTTACAGTAACACCACCTAGATGCATATTTGACTGAGTAATTGGGGAGAGCAGACTAGTCAAGTTGATATATCAAAAGACTATCGTAGAAGGTAATATCAGAATTTCTTGAGAATTGGAATTTGATTTAGGCTGATCTTTCAAAGCATGTATGGATATGGTATGGCAGTCCAGGATTGGTGTTAACAGCAGAGATTTTCCAATTGAGGGATTCAAAGAATTTTTGGATGCAAACAGTTGATGTTTTCCACTGAAGAGTTTACGAGCCTTTTAGGAAATTCCTATAAGGAAATTCACTCTTTTCTAATGAAGGAAGACATACACTTTTGTTCCCAAAGCATGAGCTTTGTGATTTCTTCTTAATTTATGAACTAGAAGCATTAAACACAAATATGGCTACCATACTGTCAAACTGGCCACTGCAGAGACAGGACACATTCACCAACTGCAAATCAGAGCCAGAATTTTACCTCATGTATGCCTGCCCCTCCCTCTTTAAGTGGCTAAAGGCCAGTCTACCTTGTAAGTGTCATATCTTTACTCTCTTTGTGCATCCTAGACTCTTTTTTTTTAATGTTTATTTTTGAGAAGGGGGAGGGGCAGAGAGAGAGACAAACAGAATCTGAAGCAGGCTCCAGGCTCTGAACTGATAGCTGGACCTTAACGTGCCAGCTGATAGCTCAGAGCCTGATGTGGGGCTCGAACTCATGAACTGTGAGATCATGACCTAAGCCAAAGTTAGATGCTCAACCAACTGAGCCACTGGGGTGCCCCAAGGAGACCCCACTTTTTAAAAAATGTTTATTTATTTTGAGAGAGAGAGTACAAATGGGGAAGGGCAGAGGGAGAGGAAGAGAGAGAATCCCAAGTAGGGATCACTGACAGTGCGGAGCCCAACGTGGGGCTCAGTCCCACAAACATGAGACCATGACCTGAGCTGAAATCAAGAGTCGGATGCTCAACCGACTGAGCCACCCAGGTGCCCCTGGAGACCCCACTCTTAAGTGATGCTCTACGTTGCCTGGATGAAATTTATAGAATCAGAGAAAGCATAAGCCTTTTCCTTTGCTGACCAACTTTACATTCTTTGGAGAGTGGAAGGTGGCATCAGCCTGTGGTCGAAGAGGTGTCATCCAGTTGATTTTCCTGATAGAACACAGCCTCTGAAGCACAGGTCTGTCTGTACTGCCTTTCTCTTTGAGTCTCATCTACCTTTCTGACAGGACCTTACCATTTAAATTAATTTTTTTTAATGTTTATTTATTTTGAGAGAGAGAGAGCAAACAGGGGAGGGGCAGAGAGAGAGGGGGAGTGACAGAATCCCAAGCAGGCTCTGCGCTCAAACTCACCAACTGTGAGATCATGACCTGAGTTGAAACCAACAGTTGGGCCCTTAACCGACTGAGCCTCCCAGGTGCCCCAGGACCTTCACATTCTTAATGCAAATTTAATAGCTCTTCCCCTTATCTTCTTTTATTCCAAAATGCAAAACACTGATTAGAAACACATTTTTTTCAGAGGAAAGGAAAAGCCAGAAGGCAAATGAACTGCTAGCCGAGAAGACAGAGGCACAGGGATGAGAGCTGCTGTATAGTTAATGGTGGCTGTCCCTCTCATTTTTGAGCCACTTCTAGGCTGGGCTCAGCGCATTTATCACCTCTTGTTCTTACTGTTTGTTCCCCATGCAATGGCTCGCTCTCCCTACTTTAGGGAAGAGAAGACTTACATCCGTGTGGTTAAGGACCTCGCACTGAGCACACACACCTGGTTTGAGCTAGTTGGGGAATTTGAACCCAACTCCTCCTGTCGGTGGTTTTGATGCTGCTTTTGGTTTAAGCACACAGTGCTCAAGACTCTTTAAAGAACTCATACTTAGATCCCCAAAAGTCAGGAGTCAACATTGCAGGAGTCAACCTGGGGGCCAGCTGCTTACTTTTACCCCAGTCATACCCCCACCTAGGGTCCTGTACTGTGGGCCTCACAGGGAACCCCTGAGAACCTGCAGGGCTTTTGCTGATACCATGCTTACTTCTTTGCTCTCATGTACGTTGACCAGTTGATGAGGATAATTCCCCTCTGAGGATAAATGCAAAATTTTGGTCTTTTTCCAGAGAGAAAATGGGCAGAGGGCTGACTCAGTCAGTGGAACATGCAGTTCTTGATCTTGGGTTGTGAGTTTGAGCCCCACGTTGGATATAGAGACTAGTTTTAAAAAAATCTTAAAAAAAAAGTTTTTATGATGGTTAAATAAGCAGGACAGCAAACCCCCAAAATACCCCAGCTCAGTGCCTTTCAATAAATGTTTATTGCTATTATTAGGAATCCCTACCCTCACTCCAAATTTCCAGGAGGAAATATTATCCTAAGTCCTCCCGGTCTCTTTGTGTTCACAGGGCCGCTTTTTCTTCTTGACTGGTTATTTGGGAAGAATAAAGTGGGCCCCTTTTTCTCTGGGAAGGAAACTGCTTTAGGTCTGACCTCAACAGGTAATCTGAGGGTCCAGTTAGCTGTCTTGTCGGTTCTTACCCTGAGCCTTGTTTTCCGTAAAAACTAGTAAAGGGGATATTTTAGGTTTTCATCTTCTGACTCTCTTATTTCTCAATTCATTTAGAACCTGAGCAAGAAAGAGGGATGCTATGTTTTCAGCTTCCTTAATGTTCTATAATGAGAATTTGCTGTCTTTCTCTCCTTTGGCAGAGAGTCATAGAATTTTAGGGTTGAAAGATTTTTTAAATGACAGAAATTAATTTCACCTTTCCTGCCGACCAGGTGGTCATTCGGGCCTTGCCTGACACTTCCAATAATGAGAAGCTTGCTTTCTCCAGAGGCAGCCCAGGGTGTCTGCCTGCGGATGCTCTAGATTGAGCTGGAATTGACAGAGTTGGACTTTCAGGCCATCCTGCCCTTGGTATAAACGTTCGGATTAGGTTTTCTGTGGGAGACAGTGTGGGCCTGCTTTCTTTTAGGTAGTCGTTTTAGAAAATTCATTTTCCAATAAGTAGTCAGAATTGGCTGAGGGAGAGAGAGAGTGTGTTCTGTGTGCTTTTGGCATCTTATCCTGAGAAGCTTTGTACCACCTCCGTGTGCCTGCTGAACACATTCCAGATTGTGGCTCCTCTTAAGTGATGCAGGAGAATGATCCTCATGGCGCTTTATTAACTTCCTGGCCTCTGTGCTCCAGAGTGGGGCATGTGGATGTGCAACTCCCTTAAGGTCTCCTCCTGAAAGCTGAGAATGGTGCGTACTCTGGTGGCAGGAACTAAAACTGCCAGTGAGATTCTACTTCCAATGCCAAAGATTCTACGTGACAGCTTTAGGACATTCACCTCCATCATGCTTGCCAAGTGGAGAAAGACTGATTTGGGCTCTGCTTATTTATGCTGTGTTCTCCACTCTAAGGTGACACACAGAGCTGGCAAATGTTATAAAACCAAGTTCCTTAATATAACCTTAAAAAGGTAGCTTTATTTAGATGGGATTCACATTCCCTTACATCCACTATTTAAAGTGCTCAATTCAGTGATTTTTGATATATTCCTAGATTTGTGAAATCATCACCACAATCAATTTTAGAACATTTGCATCACCGGGAAAAGAAACCTTGCAACCATTAGCGTTCATCTCCCCCCAGCCCCCGCCACCTGCCAGCACCTGGAAACCACCAGTCTGCTTTCTGTCTCAGTGGATTTGCCTATTGTGGAGATTTCATATAAATGGAACCATAACAGTGGTGGCCTTTGTGTCAGGATTCTTTCACGTAGTGTAATGTTTTCAGGGTTCGTTCATGGTGTAGTATGTATCAGCATTTCTTTGTATTGCCTAATAATATTCCATTGAATGGGTATACCACATTTTGTTCACCAATTGCTGGACATTTGGGTTGTTTCCAGCTTTTGGCTATTATGAATAATGCTTCTGTGAGCATTCATGTACAAGTTTTTGTGCAGATGTGTGTTTTAATCTAGCAGAACTGGTTAGGTTGTATTTTCTAAATAACCTTTCAAAGTTGCTTTTTTTTGGTTTGCTCTTCTTGGGCCCTATATTCCTACTCTCTGGACTTATACTCACTTCTGTGCTGAATGCGTCTGTGACTTGTTATAAAGTTAATACATCTGAGACCCAGTTTAAAGTTCTTTGTAGAAATAATTAAAAATCACTCAAGAATTATGAGAATAAAGTGACAAACTGAATCATAAGAATTCTTATTATATGGTATCACTACTAGATTATTTTTGCCTTTGCTCTCTCTTCTTTACTAAGCTTCTAAAATTTGAAGACTTACAAAGATTTTATTTTTCTTTTCCAGAATCGCAATGAAATAAAAAATGGCACTATCCTTCGATTAACCACATCTCCTGTAAGTTGATTTTAGTTTATAGCTTTCTAGTAAATGCTTTGGTCTTCAGTTCTGCTATATGTGATTATGGGATATTAATTTTTATTTATTTATTAAAAATTTTTAAAATGTTTATTTATTTTTGAGAGACAGAGTGTGAGTGGGAAGGGGCAGAGAGAGAGGGAGATATAGAATCTGAAGCAGGCTCCAGGCTCTGAGCTGTCAGCACAGAGCCCAACGTGGGGCTCGAACCCACGAACCATGAGATCATGACCCGAGCTGAAGTCGGACACTTAACCGACTGAGCTACCCAGGTGCCCCTGGGATATTAATTTTTGAGGGTAACTTTAGTGCAAGACAGAAGGTGTCTGGAATGTCCTCACATGCAGATCCTGGATTAGCAGTAATGCCTTTCCTTGTATTTCCCATTTCAGAGGAGGAAACTTTTATTTCAGGTTCAGTGCAAGTAAATTGACTTTAAGGTTTGAGTTTGGTGGTCACTTCAACAATTCTCATATTACAGATGGGGTAACTCAGTTGTACTGATTGGTTTTACCCACCTGCCCACACATACACCTAATGCCGTCTGAGCGAATTCAGTCAACGGACAAAGCAAACAAAACCAAAGACAGCCTATGATTACCTCTCTTTAAAGTCAGGGTGTGTATGTGTGTAAAAGAGAGAGTGTTTAAGCGTTTTTCTAGTTTTGGTCAGTTATTATGACAACTCATAATAATATAATTTGAGAAATATTTGCCACTAAGGTTGTTTCATTGACAGCTGATTCTAGATGAAACACTTCAAAAGCTAAACAAAGTGCTGCAGAATATTTAGACTACTGTAGCTGGCTGTGTTGCTTATCTTCATCTCTCTTACTTGCTTGCAGATTCTTTGGATAGTAGCATTAGCATATTTAAACTGTATTATTTCACAGTGCATTTTATTGCTTTCCTAAAAAATAACGTGCACAAAATACACCAAGTGTTACTATTTTCACTCCGCATATGTCATGAAAACTGTGTCTAACTCTTATTTTCAGTTTCCACCAAAGCCATGTGGTAGGCTAAAAATAAATTTGAAAATTGGGAAAAGCATCTGGCTAAACTTAAATTGTGGGTACTGTAACTACCACACATTCTTCTGGTTGAAAATTACATTAGAGAGGCTTAAAAACTCTTAAACATTGTACCCAACAACATCTTGAACCTAAACACCGTGATAAGCTCCACAGAGTGCATCGTGGGAGTTGGCCAAACTGTCTTCTGGTGCCTTCTTTTCCACTTTCTGGAAATCATATTTCATACTCCTTTTTCAATGGCCACATGATGAGCTGAGACATTTTTGTCTGACTTAGCATTGACCTTACCTCAGTCAGCATGAATTAATGTTAATTTGACCTTTCGAGACCGTGATTTCATTTGGTTTTTGTAGTTTCTGTTTATCCTGTTACAATTACTCATTTGCTGGCTAGGCAGAAAGAGTCCACCTTGCCTTGTTAGGTCTCAGAATTAGAAAGGCTCAGTTTTCACATCTAAGCCAAAGAAGAAGTTCATTCTTTTTTATTGCCATGGGTGCATGAACAAAACTTCCACAACATAAGCTACTCCTTGAAAGAAGGTTAGGTGTTTGTCAGGGTAAAGTTTTTCAGCATCCCGATAGCTCATGCTTTTCTGGTAGTGACCTTCACATTCCAGCAAGGTGAATGGTGAGATGTGAAAGCCAGTGCACAAGGCGATATCATAAGATGGAGTCCACCTACAAGAGACTGGTGTCTGTATTCTAAAGACTGGTGGTTTCCAAACCCGAATCATTGGTGGAACTTTAAAAATGTGGTTGTTTGGGCCTTTACTGAAACGCTGAATTATGATACCTGGAAACAAGGTCCAGGAATCTATATTCATTTTAAACAAGCATTTTATGATTTGGCTGTAGCCACAGGGTCTAGAACTGGGCATTACTCTAAGTGGGATATTTTGGATCTGTAAAAACTTCACTTGCTGTCAGTAGATTGTTTTTTATTATTTTGTGTTTAACTGAAAAATATGGGTCAGCATATGCTAACTTTCACTTTTCATGTACGCACAAAAGAATGTTAAAAAATATAACCGTCTCCATCAAATTTGCTAGGAAGTGTTAGTATACCATACAGAAATCAGCAAATGGTGTCATACCATAAAAATGTTTGATTCTTTCCTCTACCTCAGCTGAACTTCTTCTGTAGCCAGACAAAATGCACACACACCGACATGGGCACACTTATGCATGCACACACATGCACACACTCTTGCTTTAGGTAATGTGCAACTGCGCTGACTTCCACCTGTGTGACCTTGGGCAAGTTACATAACTTGTCTGCACTTCAGTTTCCTGTGTACAATGAACATGATGAGGACAGCCACCTGGTAGGATTATTGTGTAGATTAAATGAATTCCTTCATGGGGGTATTTAGAATAGTGGCTCATAAAAAGCCCAGGTAACTTAGATGTTTTTATTACTGGTACTAGAAGTACCACACACCGTTAGCATTAATACTGACAATGAAATAATTTTTGAGTACTCCTTATTATCATAATCTGTATAATAAATGCAGCCTTCCTGCTTGGAGGAAATTGTACTTTTCGAGGAATTCAAAGTGATCTGCTTGGGGTAAATGTATGTCAGTGCTGTCTGTGCACTTGAAAAATTTACAAAAAAGTGTATCTTTGAATGATTTTAAAAGATAAAGTGATTCTTGCTCAGCTCTCCATTCTCCCTCTTAAAAACATGGGATTTAGGGTTCGTGTGACTTTTCAGATATCCAGGAAACTGAATGAGTAGAGAGAGTTCTGGTTCTCCTCCACCTTCCTCCTTCTCCTCCTTTTTTAAAATTTCTGATGCAAAGTGTCAGTTTTTGGTTATAACTACAATGGGAGACCACTGTGCTTCTCTGACCAAGTGATGGGGGCATGGGTTCCATTCCTGCCTCGGCATCTGAAGGGTTGGCATTGGTTTCCCTGCTGGGTCCCCTTCTCTCCTTGGGGCTACTTTCAGGTGACAGGGAAGGGGGAACTGGGCAGGGAGGAAGGGGACCTTGACTGTGGAGCCTGTTGGGGTCTCAGAACGTGTGTGGATTCCCTTCCTTCACTCTGCAATCTTAACCCTGTTACAGTCCACACGGGGCTCCTCTGATAGTTCTAATGAGTTTCCATTCAGAAGGTACGTCACTTCCGGGGACAAATACCTCCTCTTCCCCTTTCTCTGAAATATAACAAGTTTCAAAGGAGAAACAGGTGGCTGAGAAGGAGAATATGAGGATGGTACATTGCTTCACCCATTGCAGTTTTGAGTTAAATAGTAACTACCACAGATGTTGAGTTATTTCCATTAAGCAAAAATAGAGGCAGAAAAATTTGATATTTTATTTTTCTTACCGTCTGCCCCAACTGAAAAGTAACTGTGAAAATCTTTACTGGAAGAACGAGAAATATAAACTGCAAGTTATTATCCAATATATTTCCATTCCTCCCTGTCCGGCATGTAGTAGCCAAGGGCAGAGGCCTTAAAAAAATGTCTAATTTTAGGCGAAGCTACTGATTTGGTTTCCTAATTATTTTGTTTTATATTTGTGCAGTAATTAGCCAATGCCTGTGAAACACATGTTGAAAAGTAAAATTTATAAGCACTGTTGTGTGTTGTGCTAGAAGATTTTCAGTAACTGGGAAAGATTATTTCTAATGAAATAATGTCTAGTGAAGCTTTTGAACACTCTGTGTAGGCAGTTACTGCTCAGAATATTGACTGAACGCATGAATGTTCTGTATAAATTTGCGTAATGGCTTAACTAAGCAAATACCTTTTTGTCATTTGTAGACAATAATTTTACTTACAAGGTAAACATTTTCCCATTTTTCCCTCCTCACTGCCACTCCTGTTCCCTTTCAGGGGCTTTACTGTTTTTGTGCTCTTACTTTTCCAAGAGACAGAAACGTGGGCTTTGTCAAGAAGGCAACCAATTGCCATCATTAAATTAACAGACATTGCTTGAAGGTGGAGTCATGCAGGTTGGAAAACTGCCCTTGGTATATAGAATGCACATGGTCTTATGCTTCTGGGCCCTGTTGTCTTCCTTTCTCAATGAAACAGTAGTTTTTTGTCTATTGTGGTTTCCTCTGTGAACACTCTTCCATTTATTTTTGTCCTCAATGAGGCTCAAAACGCCCAGCAGCTCCATGAACGAATCCAGTCGTCAAGTATGGATGCCAAGCTGGAAGCCCTGAAGGACTTAGCCAACCTCTCCCGGGATGTCACATTTGCCCAGGAGTTTATAAATCTGGATGGCATCTCTCTCCTCACGCAGATGGTCGAAAGCGGCACCGAGTAAGCATCTTTTATCCAGACTTCTAGTCTGTCCTATTCTTTCCCGCATTCTGGGGATTTGTTACTTTCCTTGTACTTGTAATTTCTAGTTTTAAAGACCAGAAATTGACCAAAAAAACGAAAGCTATGTTTCAAAGTCTTAAACTAGGTCAAAATAGCATCCCTGAATAATCTTTTAAAACATTGTCATTTCAACGATGAAATGCTTAATTATTTAAAATTATAAATACTATAAATATTTATCAAATACTTACTGCATATAAAGAGTGGAAGTTGGGAGAATTTAAAAAGTTGTGAGCCAAGCCATTAAAAAATTTATGGAGGCAGACCTCAACTGAGATATAATTCCTTGTGAGGGCTGGGACCAGTTACAGCTGACAGAGGGGGTGTCAGTGAATGGGCCTTTAAGGAGTTTGAGTTCCATCATGATCAGGAAAGGGATGGACATTTCTCCTTGGGGAGCTCACCTTCTCAGGGAAGACTTTAATTCTGTGGTGTGATTGGGAGTAAGGAGCCTCCTTACCTGGGGGTAAGGAGCCGGGTGGGAGCTAGCTCTTACTTGTGTGGACAGATGACTCCCCTCACCACCAAACACCAGGGTAGGGTCCATAGGTAGCTAGCTACTCATTCCTATATGGTCAGGTGCTACTGGCATAGACTATTAGAGCATGTAAGTTACAGCCTGTGAAAATGCCAAAGCAGTTAATTATGTATGCTAAATTAATGATATGCAGAGTTGGGATAGATATTTATTAGGAAAGAATACATGTCACTGGGAATTGGGGTTTAAGCCTGGGTCATGTAGATCTCTCTTCAGTACGTGGTGATTCAAAGAATGAATGGATGACTGTGCATATTGGAGATCTATCTTGGCCCTCTCTTCCAGTCCCTTTCCCCTCCCTTTCCCTTCCTTCCTTCCTTCCTTCCTTCCTTCCTTCCTTCCTTCCTTCCTTCCATCTCCTCCTACATGTGGCATTATTTAGTCTCTTCAACTGGCACTAGTGAAAGATTCTTTTTAGATGGCAAACAGGCTTGGATGATCTGAAAAAGAGTCGATTGTAGACAGTTATTTTATTTATTTATTTTTTTATCATTTTATTTTTTTAATGAGGACGAAAGCTCTGCTCATTAAAATATGGGGGAACATCAACTTGCAGCAGGGTGGGGAAACTCAAATTCTGGGTGTTACCAGCATGCCAGCAGGCCTACTATAAATTGGAGCTGGAGTTTGAAACAGGTCAAGGGAAGTTGAATAAGTTTATGGGTCCAGAAGACTTGACCAAGGAAAAGGAGAAAGGGTTTTTGTCTGTGTTGGAAGCTCCAGGCTGAGGTCTAGTGTGGAGCGTGTCAGATCCCTCATTCCTTGGGGCTAATGAGCAGCAGAGTGTGAGCTGGGATTATGAACACCTTCACTGGTGACTGTGGACGACTTCACATGGCTGCCACTCCTGCTTCATGCCCATCACTGCTTCTGGTGGGACAGTGAGCCCTGGGGGGTTGAGCCTCAGCCACATTTATGGCATGTTAAGTGAAAACGTAAAAGTGGCCCCACATTTACTACCTAAGTCCCAGACATTGATGTATCACAAGCGATGTACTAGAGCCAGTTGTAATGTAACCTGCTAATATTAGACGGTTCTACCACAGACCTAGGTCTCTAGGGGCTTAAGCTCTTGAATATTCAGAATGCTATTGTGTTAATGCCTCCAGGTTTTGCAGAATTGTGATCATAATTACAATTACAATGTGAAATACACTGAAACCAGGGGTCCATGTGATTTGCACCCTGAATAGAGGGTTGAGGCAGAGCTCTGAGACCCCCAAGGGCAGCAGTTATAGATTTTGACAATGAGGAAAAATGCATGCTAGGAGCGCCAGTAGTTTAGTTTCTCATTATATTGGTTTGCTAGTGCTTCCATAACAAAATATCACAGACTGGGTAGCTTAAACAACAGAAATTTATTGTCTCTTAGTTAGGGGGGCTGGAAGTCTGAAATCAAGGTGTGGGCAGCATTGGTTTCCTCTGAGGTCTCCTCGATTTGCAGATGGCTACCTTCCTGCTGTGCCCTCATGTGGTCTTTCTTCTGTGTGCGCTTATTTCTAGGATCTCTCTGTATGTTCAAATTTCCTTTGCTTTTAAAGACACCAGTCAGATTGAATTGGGACACACCCTCATGGCCTCATTTTAACTTAATCACCTCTTTAAAGGCTTTGTCTCTAAATACTGTCCCATTCTGAGGTGCTGGGGGTCAGGGAATCAACATATGAATTCTGAAGGGACACAATTTAGCCCATAACACTCATTAAGGGGACACTGCCCTTTCTGCTTGAAAAGGAAAAGAGTAAAAACTGATGCCATGTATTTGTCTTGTCTAAATTATTACTTATTGTCTGTATCATTGCCTTACTCTGTAACCCATCTTGACCTCAAGGGGGGCCCAAAAGAACCACTCATCCTCAGAATGAGGATTGAGGATGGCACGTCTGAATTGTATCTCCATGTTGCACATGTATAACCCGAGAGAATGTTGACACTGAATGTACTTTATGTGAACTACAGTAATTGAATTCCTGCTTTAAAAAAGCGTATTAAAGTAATTAGCATTTTAATTATTTATAATCCAGAAGCCATGTTGATTTGTTCCATGCAGCCAGGTTTCAGACACACAAATGATTCAAGGCCAGATCTTGGGTGAGTTCTCATTTGCATTGATCTCTTACACTGTCCCATCACACTATGTTATGGGAAGGAATGATATCTCTCTGGATCATCTTCAGTGTCCTCCTCACCATCTTATATGAGTTCAAAGCCCTGCTACTTCGGGGGATGGAGGGAGGAGGCACCCTGCTTCCTTCTGCTGGGTCCTGCGACTCATCTTAGAGCTGCTCGTTTGTTGCACAGCTATTTTTCAGGTCTTCTGCTCAGATTAAAAACAAAAGAAAAGACCTTTTTCTTGTAAGGAAACCTGGCTTCTCAATTAAACTTCTAGCAAGACATTCATTAATTAACAGGAAACTTTTGGAATAGAAACTGTACAAATTAAATGGATCCTGCAATTTGGAAGGCACTTGGTCATGACTTCCGGGCAGATTTCCAGCTGGGCAAGGCAGAGGTTTTGTAAAGCAGGACCTGTGGAAATTTTTAGGAAACATTGAAGAAATGCAGCTGGAATTTTTCTCTTTACTTTGAGCTGTAATGAGATTCAAAGATTACTCACCTGCTTGTCGTTACTCAAGGCTGAGCTTTTAAAGGTCTCCCTCATTGGTGCCAGGAGGGGCCATCGGGCAAAATTAGCAACAAAGGAGCAATGGAGAGTGTCACTTTGGCAGAATGCAGTGATTAATACCTGAATTGAATTTTTCCATCCTTGTGGAATTTTGAAATTCTATCCCCAATTTAAGCTTGAGACATAGGTGTGGAAGCAAATGAAGTTGTGAGGAAACTTCTCAATGTTAGCTCAATCTGAGCAAGGAAATGGATTCAGGGAAGGAAATTTCAGGAATGGACAGTGTTTACTAAAAAATGGGTATTGATCGCTTCTCGGCCTTTTGGCTAAGATCAAGTGTAAAAAATGGGTATTGAAGATTTTTCAAGGGATTAATATCTGAAACATATAAAGAACTCATACAACTCAATAAAACAACCCAGTTGAAAAATGGTCAGAAGATCTGAACAGACATTTTTCCAGAGTATACATACAGACGCCCAACAGGTACATAAAAAATGCTTAACAAAACAGAGACTGGAAGATGGCGGCGTAGGAGGACGCTGGGCTCACCGCGCGTCCTGCTGATCACTTAGATTCCACCTACACCTGCCTAAATAACCCAGAAAACCACCAGAGGATTAGCAGAACGGAGTCGCCGGAGCCAAGCGCAGACGAGAGGCCCACGGAAGAGGGTAGGAAGGGCGGCGAGGCGGTGCGCGCTCCACGGACTGGCGGGAGGGAGCCGGGGTGGAGGGGCGGCTCGCCGGCCAAGCAGAGCCCCCGAGTCTGGCTTGCAAAAAGCGGAGGGGCCTGACGGACTGTGTTCCGACAGCAAGCGCGACTTAGCGTCTGGGAGGTCATAAGTTAACAGCTCTGCTCAGAAAGCGGGAAGGCTGGAGGACAAAGGGAAGGAGAGCTGCTGAGCCCCCGGACGACAGAGCTCAGTTTGGTGGGGAACAAAGGCGCTCGCCAGCGCCATCTCCCCCGCCCATCCCCCAGCCAAAATCCCAAAGAGAACCAGTTCCTGCCAGGGAACTTGCTCGCTCCACGCAAACACCCAACTCTGCGCTTCTGCGGAGCCAAACCTCCGGCAGCGGATCTGACTCCCTCCTGCTGCCACAGGGCCCCTCCTGAAGTGGATCACCTAAGGAGAAGCAAGCTAAGCCTGCCCCTCCTGCCCCTGTGCACCTTGCCTACCCACCCCAGCTAAGACGCCAGATCCCCAGCATCACAAGCCTGGCAGTGTGCAAGTAGCCCAGACAGGCCACCCCACCCCACAGTGAATCCCGCCCCTAGGAGAGGGGAAGAGAAGGGACGCACCAGTCTGACTGTGGCCCCAGCGGTGGGCTGGGGGCAGACATCAGGTCTGACTGCGGCTCCGCCCACCAACTCCAGTTATACACCACAGCACAGGGGAAGTGCCCTGCAGGTCCTCACCACGCCAGGGACTATCCAAAATGACCAAGCGGAAGAATTCCCCTCAGAAGAATCTGCAGGAAATAACAACAGCTAATGAGCTGATCAAAAAGGATTTAAATAATATAACAGAAAGTGAATTTAGAATAATAGTCATAAAATTAATTGCTGGGCTTGAAAACAGTATAGCTGACAGCAGAGAATCTCTTGCTACAGAGATCAAGGGACTAAGGAACAGTCAC